ATATGTCATGGGTACACGGGTGGATGGATGGATGGATGGATGGGTGGGTGGGTGGATGGATGGATGGAGACATGGAGGACAGATGCTTGGAGAGATAGATGGGTGGATAGACAGATGATAGAAGAAAGGAAAGAAGGGATTGAGAGAGGTAGAAGAAAAGATGGATAGATGGAAGGAAAGACTGAAGGAAAAAAGATGAATGCATGGATGAATGGAAAGAAAGAAAGAATAGAAGGAAAGAAGGAAGGACAGAGGGAAGGATAGACAGAAGGGAGCTTGGAAGGAGTAGTGAACAGAAGGGAGGAAGAGAAGAGGGGAAGTAAGTTTTTCTTCCAGAGGTTTGTCCTGAATAGTTAACCCTGTGCTGCTCACTGCTTATCTATTCTAGAGTCAGGCCACTGGGCCTCTGGTCCATTTATTATACTTCTCCTGGGGCCTACACAGGTCACCTCAACCATTGAATACTGAGCCAGCTGCATGTGTCTAAGCAAGAGCATGTGTCTTCACAGGGGGAGTCATGAGCAAGGACTCTGGGATTGGAGAACCTGGGTCCAAACCCAGACTCTCCCTCTCCTGTCATGTAACCCTGGGCAGAAGACTATTTCTGTACTGTGGTTCCTCCTTTGTTTAGTGTGGATGATTCTAGCACCCAGCTCTTATTTATCCAGGTAAAAAGCTCCATGTATAGTGAGTGATCAGAAAGTATTTGATTATTTGTTTTATATAATGAACACTTATATCGTGTTTACTCTGTGCCCAGCACTGTGCTTAAGCACTTTACAGAATTTGACTTGTTCAAACCTCATTACAGCTTTTGAAGTAGTAATAATTATTATCTACAGATGAGTAAATCAAGGTGCAGAGAGATTGGTTGCAGCTCCTAGTTGGCTTTTTTTTTTTTTTATGCAATGCATAGAAGATTGGCATACCTGGGTGTAAGAGAGAGACAGAGAGAAAGAAAAAGAGAGGAAACGAGAGAGGCACAGAGAGATAAAGAGATAGAGATGGGGGAGCAGAGAGAATGTGGAGGACAATGTCTGGGGTTTTTCCTGGTTCTACATCAGTGTGGTAAGTTGGAGCCTTTCCTTCCCAGAAGGAACAAAACCACTAGTGTTTTCACAGAGCCCTCCACTCCTGCACCTGGGTGGGAATACCATCTCCAGCCCCCAAATCATTAAGCCCGTCCTTACTTGCTGCTGGAGATGTCTCCATTAACGAGCGACCCTCAGATTTATCTGGAGGAGGACAAGAGGCCCTTGGAAGCCCCACAGTGGGTGGATATTGGGCGCCCTGACCTTCCCACAAGCCTTGGCTCTCCCTGCACCTGTCACAGCTGGGGAGGTCGGTGAGGAGCCGTTCACGCTGAACTTCACCATCGACAACCTGCGCTACTCAGCGGATATGGGCCACCCCGGCTCCCTCAAGTTCAACATCACAGACAGCCTCATGCAGCACCTGGTGAGAGGCCAGCTTCCCCGTCCCCACCTCCATGACCCCTCCTCCAGGCTGTCACCAGCTGTGACCACACTGGCCCTCTCCTTCCTCTACAGCTCAGCCCATTGTTCCAGAGGAGCAGCCTAGGAGCCCGATATGCAGGCTGCAAGGTCACCTCACTAAGGTGAGAACCCCTCCACCCACCCACCATGGCCCATCACCAAAGGACAGGACTTCTGACTATGGGGGGCCACTCCCAGTTGTGGCAGACTGTCTTGGAGGGTCCTTTTTGGCACCCATGTCTTTATGTTACATTATTGTTATAATTGTAACAAAATACGTATAGACATAAAATGAGCCATTTCACCATTTCAAAGTATACATTTCAGTGGCATCTGTTACATGCACGATGCTATGAACCCATCACCACTAGTAGTTCTGAAACTCTTCATCACTCAGGCAATTACTTGCACTTTTCTGGGTTAGTATGCATTCTGTTAGTGTCTGCAAAGCACTTTTCCATCTGTGTTTTCCATTCCACTGTGATTGGTGGTGCAGATCCTCTGAGGCAGGTGGTGGGTACCACAGTGACAGCACAAGCACTGCCCCTGCATTCATCTAGTGGAGAAAGCAGAAATAAGTAGGAGAATAAATATCGAAAAGGGTTTCAAATATAGTAAGGTGGTGGGAAGCAGAAGTGCATAGAGATGGGAAAGCAGCTTTACCCAGGGCACAGGACCATGTGTCTGTGCAGGTGATTTCTGAGCAGTATCCCAGTTGGAAAAGAAGGATTTGGCCATGAAAACTGTTCCAGGCAGAGGAAACAGCATGGGCAAAGGTCCTGAGGTAGAAATGAGCTTGGCATGTTCAGTGAACAGCAAGGAGGCCGGTGTGGCTGGAGCAGATAGAGAGGGAAAGAGAGAAAGGAAGTGCATTTCCAGATAGCAACAAGGTCTACACTATGCAGAATCTTGACGGGAATTGATTTTTTTTTTTAATTTTGGTAAAAGACGCCATAACAGAAAATTTACCATCTGAACCATTTTTAAGTGTCCGGTTCAGTAGTGTTAAGTATATTCACATTGTTGTGCAACCGAATTTCCAGAACTTGCACAAACCGAAACTCTGTATCCATTAAACAACAGCTCCCCACTTCCCTCTACCCTCAGATATTAGCAATTGCCATTCTACTTTCTGTCTCCATGAATCTAACCACTCTGAGTACCTCATTAGAAATGAAATCATATGGTATTTGTCTTTTTGTGTCTGTCTCATTTCACTGATCATAGTGTCCTCAAGGTCCATCCACGTTGTGGCAGGTGTCAGGATTTCCCTCGCTTTTAAACCTGAATCATACTCCATTGTATGGATATATCATATTTTGTTTATCCATTCATCAGGACTTCGGTTTTTGCATGGAACAGGCAGTGTGCGAGGTGCTGGGAGTTCGGCACAACAGTGAGCCAAACTGTCCCATAACACTTCCTCATGGAGGCCACTGTCTGAAGAGAAAAGGAAAAATAATACATGTTAACAGTGAGGGCCATCAGGGCTGGGATGGGGGAAGCTTGAGGTACTTAGTGGCAGCCAGGACCTTCTCTTGATTCAGCCTGGGAGGGTTCTTGGAGAAAGTGTCTAAGTTGAGATCTGAAGGATGACTGGGAAGTTACCGGAGAGTGAGGAGAGAAGGGGAGAGACCTCCAGACAGAAGTCGCTGCACGTGCAAAGATACTGGGGTGAGAGTGTGTGGCCAGGTGGAGAAACTGTGAATGGTTCAGTAAGGCTGGAACACAGGATATGATGTGTGCAGTGACCACGGGTGGCAAGGTGCCACATGGGCTGTACTCCCTACACATCGATCTCTCCTTCCTCAGGTCTGTGAAGAATGGCGCCAAAACAAGGGTGAACATCCTCTGCACCTACCGGCAGCCCCCCAGCAGCCCAGGTCTGCCTGCCAGGCAGGTGTTCCATGAGCTGAGCCGGCAGACCCGTGGCATCACCCGGCTGGGCCCCTATTCTCTGGACAAGGACAGCCTCTACCTCAATGGTGAGCGATTCTCAGCCCCCCTCACTGCTTCCACCCCTCCATCCCACGGGTCAGGTCTCTCGGGGAAACCTTGAGACAAACTCAGGTGTGAATCTCAACTCCATACTGACCCCCACCCTCCAACTGTCACTCCGTAAAACTGTCCCTGATCACACCTGTTTTGCAGATGAAGAAATGGAGGCTCTAAAAGGTTAAGTAATTTGCCCAGGTGGGTGTAGCTAGAGAAGAGTGGAGCCAGGCATGAGCCCCAGCAGTCAGCATCCAATGCTATGCCCCACCCGATGCCTTTAACTCCTAGAAGGGTCGTTCCAGGGGATACATGGGAAAAGAAAATCCCACATCTGTCTCCCCTCCCAGCTTCTCACCCTAGACTAGAGATGGGCTTCTCTCCTCGTTGGGGCCCCAATGCCAGGAAGTTAGGTGGGCACTCTGAACATCTGTGGGGTCCAAGTTCTGGACACGCTGGGCATCAGCCTAGAAGCCAGGAAGGGACAGTGTTTAAGGGGGTGACCCTCCTCTGGGGTTCTGAGAGGCAGAACATGGAACATGGTGAGGTTTATTGGAATAACTCAGCTTCTCTCCTCTCTGTCCCCAACTTGGGGATGGTGTTTGGCAACTCACACTTTCTTATCACCATTGCCACATCGGGTGGGCAGGGAGACATCCTGGTCCTTTATGACTCCCATTTCAGCAAAGAGGGAGATGTGCAGAGAAGGGAAGGGACCTGCCCATACCACTAGTAGGTTTGTGGTCAGTCTGGGTCTTGATGTTGTGATTTCACATCTGTTCCCTTCACCTTGGCCATTGCAGGGGCCAGTTTAGGATATTTCGCCCTGTAAAATAGGCTTCATTTTGTTCACTCAGTCATCAGTCACCAGTATCTGCTATAAGCCAGGCCTTGTGCGTGGCACCAGGGACAGACAGGCTACATGGGCAACCTGTCTTAATGTAAGCTCCAAAGGGGCAGAGACATTTTGTTCAGTGTTGTATTCCCCAAATGTAATAGAACTTGGCACATAGTAGGTTCTCAATAAATAGTTGTTGGATGGAGGGATAGATTGAAGGGAGGGCAGAAGGGTCGATGGTGGGATGGATAGATATGTGTGGGAATAAATGTGTGAATATAAATGTGATGAGAGTCTCTTGGGGGCATGCTGGAGAGGTGGATAGGGAAGGGTCATCTCTAACTGGAAGATCAGGAAAACCTTAATGATGGAGATGACATTTGAGTCTGACCTTAGAAGATGCATAGATGCTTACCTGGTACACAGAGGGAAAGGCATCCAGCAGCAGGAGCCCCACACGGACAAAGACATGGAATATCTGGGATTGTTCTGCCATCTCCCCTTACGTGTGACATTTTTGTTTCCAGGCTACAATGAACGTGGTCCAGATGAGCCTCCGACAAGTATGTATCTTTGCATCCAGTACCAAAAGCCAAACTTTTCTCCTCTCTAATAAGGGAAGCTATCCCCAAACTCAGGCTGTTTTCCTGAGTGGGGCCAGGTGTCAGTGGGAAGAAGAATGCTGAGTCCTTGGTCTCTTCTGGGCCTGCAGGCATGACATTGGCTTTCTAAACTTTCCACACCCTTTTGGGTTGGAGGAAGAAATTTGAACAAACATTTCCTACAGGGATGCGGGTTGAGGTCAGATGATGAGTCCCTGGCTCCTGAAAACAAGATCTCCTACAAGGGCCACAGAAGGGGCCTCAATATAGAGCTGAAAACTGTGGTGACCACTCAGTGGTTTGGCCAAATTTGCCTGTTCAGTTGTCCAATGATCTCTTCATCTATCTTTTAATCCATCCATTCTTCCATTCTCCAAGTTATCTCTTCTCTCAGACTTCTCCATTCTTCCTTCCTTCCCTCCATTCATCCTTTCTTTCTTCTTTCCCTTTGTCCACCCATGCATTCATCCATTCTTCCTTCCTTCCGTTCATCCACCCATCCTTCCTTTTCTCCTTCCCTCTATTGTTTCATCCACCCATCCATCAATTCATCCACCCATCCTTCCACCTCTCCTTCTTTCCTCCATCCTTCATTCCTTCTCTCCTTTGTCCATCCTTCCATCCATCTTTCATTTTTTCCTTTCTTCCATCCATTCATCTCTCCATCTATCCTTTCTTCCTTTTCCCTCCATCCACCCATCCTTCATTCATTCTATGCTTTATCCATTCTTCTGTCCTTCCTTTCATCCATCCATCTGTCCACCCATCCATCCATCCGTCCGTCCATCCGTCCGTCTGTCCATCCGTCCATCCATCCATCCATCCATCCATCCATCTATCCTCTTTCTATTCACTTGCTTGTCTTTTCCTCCTTTTGTTCTTGTATCCATCTCTCCAACTTTTCTTCCTGTGTTTATTCTTGCTTTCTCTTTGACCCCTCTGTCCATCCAGGTATCCCATCTGTCTGCCTGCTTTTCTGCCCATTCATCTCCCTGTCCTCTTTGCTTAGTCTCTCTCTTGTTCACCTACCCTACTTTCTTGAGTTTATTTCACTCATGGGCCCATTCACCCCTCTGCTCACACAATTCCTCCTTCCCTTATTCTCATTTATGGCACACCTGTGAATGCTTGTCCTGGGACAACCACTGCTGGAGCCCAGGCAAGCTTTGGGGAGTTTCTCCCACTCTGTGGGGACTCTGTTCCTTCCTGATGACTGCCCTTTCCACAGCTCCTGAGGCAGCCACCACATTCCTGCCTCGTTCGTCACCACCTGTGCAACTAGAAGCCACCACAGGTATCTGGGAGATCCCTTTTCCTTCCCAAGAAAAGCTCTCCAGCCCCACACCTCTACCAGTCAGTTGTAAAATTCTGGTATAGGACAGTCATGTCAATAGCAAAGATTATACTGACAATTCAATCTAACACATACCCTCATGGAGCCCCCAGCCTTGTGAGATCAGCAGACCATTATAACACAGTGTGAGACATTTTAGGGAAAGACACCTAATATGATTTTGAGGGGAAGGGCTTTCTGGAGAAAGTTTCACCCAAACTGAGTCTTTAAAAATGAGGAGGGGTCGGTCATCCAGGAAAATAGGGGATGAAGAGTTTTCTTGGTATAGGAGATTCAGTGAGCAGAGCCTCAGTGGCCAGAAACAGCATAGTGTATGGAGAGAACTGAGAGGGATTTGGTTTGCTTAAAGCATTAAGCTTAACCTGGAGTAGATGGATAAGTGAAGCTGAAAGGTTGGCAAGAACCATATTGGGAAGGACCTTGAGTACCAGGTCAAGAAGCTTGAACTTGACACTGAAGGCCAAAGGAATCCATGGGTAGTGGTGACTATACTGAAATCTTCACTTAAGAAAATATCTCCTAGCGTTCAGTGTAGAGAACACTCTTTAGAGAGGGCATCCAGTACGTCTCCTGGGGTGTTGGTCCAAGTGAGAGAAGATAAGGCTTGGGCTGGAACAGGATAGAGAGTGGATGTATGTGAGGACTCTTCTGCAAGTGGAATTGGGGTTACTTGGAGGGGAGGGAGGAGGAGCTGAGCAACGTGCTGGTTTTGACTTGGGTGACCAAATGGTGGGTGGTGGTGCCACTGGAAGAGAAGATGACAGAGTACAGCGAATGCAGGACTCTGATTTGGTCTCAGGCCAACTCTCAGTAGTAGCCGTCTCTCCCCTCTCTTCTTGTAGCTATGGGACACAACCTGAAGACCCTCACACTAAACTTCACCATCTCCAACCTCCAGTATTCAATGGCTATGAACAATGGCTCAGCTATGTTCAACTCCACCAAGAGGACCCTGCAGCGCCTGGTGAGACCCTGCTCCCAGCAGCTCCAAGTGGGATAAATTCCACCCAGCCCTTCCCCCACCCTTGTCTCTCCTGTTCATTCTCCTCCTCCTTCCTCCCCAGCTTGGATCCTTGTTTCTGAAAAGCAGTCTGGGCCCCTTCTACTCAGGTTGCAGACTAATCTCCCTCAGGTAGGACTTTTTCCTGAGCATTTGCCAGTAGTGACCATTTTGGTGACCAACCCTTCCAGTCTTCCCACTGACCTCCCATTTGCTCCTCCTTCCTTGTGGCCCCCATAGTGAGGTTTCAGGACCTCTCTTTAGAGTCCTCACATCCCTCTCTCCCCAGACCTGAGAAGGATGGGGCAGCCACCCATGTTGATACCATCTGCACCTACCACCATGATTCCATGGGCCATGGGCTGGACAGAGAGCGGCTTTACTGGGAGCTGAACCAGCTGACCCATGGTGTCACCCAGATGGGCCTCTACACCCTGGTCAGTGACAGCTTCTTCGTCAATGGTGAGTGATTTACAGCAATCATTATTGGCCTCTGTTCTACTTTATTTACTCTTTAACAAGTCAGCCCAAGTTCTGATTAGGGGACACCCTCCCCAAACTCTCCATGGAGAGAGTCTCTCTTGTTATGTCAGGTAAATAGCATGAAATTCTTTGACAAATTAATATAATGAATTTTAATTTGAACCCCAAATGTCTGATTCATGGAATCTTTTGGGACAGGAGTTCTTCTATGTGAGGCTCCTCTATGTCAGTGATTCTAACCTAGAGGCAATTCTGCCCCTCAGGAGACACTTGGCAATGACTGGAGACATTTTGGTTGCCACAACTGGGGAAGAGTGCTACCGGCATCTAATGGCTAGAGGCTAGGGATGTTGCTAATGTCCTCCAACAAACAGGAGATCCTCACCACCAAGATTTACAGAGCCCCAAATATCATTAGTTCTGAGGATGAAAAACCCTGCTCTACATGGTCCCCTGGTCCCTAGATGGGCACCAGACCAACTTATCATACTTCACCACAATTGTTTAATTATCCAACTCTACAAAATTAAGGTCTTGTAATATGGTACTACAGCCTCAGTTCTTTATGTGTTAGTACATCATCATACCCAGTGAATGAGTAAATGAGTGAACAAAATGGAGATGAGTATCTCATCCCTGCTATTTGAGGATCCACTGCAGTTCACATTCACTCCTTCAACAAACACATATACATTACCATTCTGTCCCAAACCATGTGCTGGGTACAGAGATAGAACACACAGGTTCTGTCCCTGAAAATCTCATAACCCAGAGAACTGAATATTACTTAGGGACACACAAAAAAGGCAGAGACACTGCTATTAACAGGGTGCCCTGGAAGCACAGAGGAGGGACAATTCAGGGAGGGCTTCCTGGAAGAGGATATTATGTACCCAGTACTGTACTAAGCCCAGGGACATGGCAAGAACAAGATCCCTACTCTCCTGGAGTTCCATCTCACTGGGGTTCTGAAATATGAGTAGGAGTTTTCCAGGAAAAGCAGAGGACTGAAGAACATTCCAGGAAGTGGGAACTGCATAAGCACAACAGAAACCTCACCCCGAGACTGTAAAATTCCAGTTTTCCCCCTCTGTGGGGTGACTTTCCATTTGGAAGCCCCCAGAGGGTGGGCCTGACTTTGGCTGATTCTGACAGTAGGCACCATGCCTCTCTCTGTGCTAAAGGCTAAGAGTCTCCAGCTGTCTTTTCTCCCTCTCATTGGCTCCAGGCTATGCACCTCAGAGTTTATCTACCCAGAGGGAGTATCAGCTAAATTTCCGCATCATCAACTGGAACCTCAGCAACCCAGACCCCATATCCTTGGAGTACACAGCCCTGTGGAGGGACATCCAGGACAAGGTAGTGTCTCTCTCACCTGTCCCATCTCTCCTTGGCCTGGGTGCCCCCCTCATTCCTCTGTCTGATTCACATCTATTAAGTGGTTATTTTAACTCTCCACTTTACCTATGTGTTCTGAGTTCTCTCAGTTTACGAAGGTGGTGCTCTGGCTGCCTTCCCCATTTTCCAGATGGGCAAACTGAGGCTCAGAAAGGGGAGTGGTGTGCCTAAGATCACACAGCCAGGATTTGAACTCAGAGCTCCTTTGCTCCAAGGCCTGTGTTCTTTCACTGGCTCCAGTAGCCCACTCCATCCCCAGGAGCCCTCCATCTCACCCACTGTCCCCACCCTTTATTCTAGGTCACCAAACTCTACAGAGGCAGCCAGCTACAAGACATATTCCGCTCTTGTCTGGTCACCAACTTGACGTAAGTTGAGGAGATTGGAAGCACTGGCTGAGCTGGCAGCTTGTGGCTCTGAGCTTCCATCCTGGCACAGTCTTTGAGCTGAAAGTCACTGACGTGGTACCCATGCTCCCCCACGTCCCTGTCATCTATTCCTACCATCTCCTTCCATAAGTCTTCAAAGCAGGGGCAGGGAAAGGATTAACCTCACAGGGCCACCAACATTAGCATCCACCACCTTCTCCTCTTCTGGATACTTTCAACAAAGATCAGCCCAATAATAACATTTCCCATGGCCGCACCCCTGCTGAGCACTTTCATGCATTGTCATCTCATGGGATTCTCACACAGCCCCTGTGAGATGGATACTATCGTGATCATCCTCATTGTTCAGATGGGGAAGCTGAGGCTCAGATAAGTGAAGTGAACAGCTCAAGAATTGCCCAAGTTGGGTTTGAACCCAGGTCTGTGAAGAATGGGTGGAAGAACTGAAACATCTACGCTGGGGAATAGGAGGATCATGGACACAGTGCTGACTTTGAGTGTTTCCAAACTTCAGTTCCTTTGTCTCTAAGATGGGGATTATTATAATAATACCTTCCACCAGAGTGATGGTGAGGGAATGTGTAAGTTACTTCCTAGAAGTGCTCAAGAGATGTTCATTATTTTTATATTTGTTCATTCCCAACTCCTGGAAACCTTATATTTTTGGTCAGGTCTCCTCTAGCCTGGGAGATCATCTCTCACTTCTTGCCCCTAGGTCTTTGGGTCTATAAAATAGGAACTCAGGAGACTACTGGTGTTGAGTGATGGCTGAGTTCCATGGTCTTTGTCCCTAGGTTGGGCTCCATGTTTGTCACCATCCAGGCACTGTTCTCTTCTAATGTGGACCCCAGCGTGGTGAAGAAGGTCTTTCTGGACAAGACCCTGAATGTCTCATCACACTGGCTAGGCGCCACCTATCAACTGGCGGACCTTCATGTGACAGGTGCAAGATTGGGGGCTGGTTTCATGGCTTGAAGAGATGGGGCTATGAGGAAGGAAGGATGGGGCTTCTCAGTAGCGGTGGAATGGATGGAGGCTCTGGAGGGGAAAGGGGGGCTTTCTGGAGGCCCATGTTGATTACCCATGGCATTGGATCATCCAACAGGAGGTAGGAAGAAAACATGCAGCAACTGCACCCAAGGGAATGATTATTTTTACTCGTAAATCTTTCTGACCCAAAATGTAGAGTATCCTGAGTTGCCAGAGTCATACATTGATTGATTGAAGGATGCGTTCATTCATTCAACAATATGTCATGAAAGTAAATAGGCACTGATGATGCACTGTGGTAACTGCTATAATCAGAGAATTTCAAGAGTCTATGGGAACCCCAAGGAGGGACACACAGCCCATCTTGGAAAGTTTTCTGGAGGAAGTGATGAACAAACTGAGATTGATAGTGAACATGACCTAGCCAGTGGGAAGAGATGGGGAGTTGAGCTACATGTGTTTATAACCTAGAAGACAGAATATTTGGGGAGGCTCTAAGGAGTTTGATATGGCTGGAGCAAATACCTTGATGTGGGAGAAATGGCAGGTAAGGCTATAGATGCAGGCAGGGACTTTCTTAGGCACTGGAATGGTATGCAGAGGAACACAACATAGAGTTCTGCTTTAGAAAGCTCATCCACTGGGTGCTGTATAGAGAGTAGATTGGGAGGGGGAAAAGACCAGAGGCAGCAAGACACATTAGGAACCTTGGTCAGCAAAGGTGTATGACAGATGTCCCCTGAGGTGATCAGCACCTGCACTTGCCCTCTGTTCCCCAGAAGGGGCCAGTCTCCTCTTCCCCACATACTAGTGAGCTCTCATAATGCTTGGGGGAGAGTTGGATGGATAGATCAATGGATTCAAAGTGTCCAGGTGGATAGAGGGTCTCATGTAGCCCACCTTTAAAAATCCATTGCCAGGAATAAGTAGACTAGCTGGAATGACTTCTTTGCTAATTTCTTCACCTGACTGGGACTTTTATACCTTCTTTTTATTATAGAAGTGGAGCCATCAGCTCATCTACCAACAGACAAACCAACAAGCAGTCCCCGCCCTGAGCACTTCCAGCTGAGTTTCACTGTCACCAACCTACTCTATTCCCAGGACACAGCCCAGCCGGGCACCACCAAACACCAGCAGAACAAGAGAAGTATTGAGAATGCGGTGAGAATGGGGTTGTGTGTCCACTCTGTCCCCAGGTAGAGACAGACCTATGGACCCTGGGTAGTCAGAGGGTTATTTTTCATAACAATTCGTGAAGACTGGTTCTTATGCCCATTTAGAAATTAAGAAACAGGCCCAGAGAGTTTCAGTAGCTAGTCCAGGGTCATATAACTAAGTCATACCCTGGAATGGGATGTCTTTTGGTACACATATCTGGGCTAGTGTTTGTTGAGATAAGAAAAAATAGATGGGGAAGTATGCTCAGTGGCTAAAAATTCTCTGATGCCACTTGGCCTGGGATGATGATCAAGGGAACATCGCCCTGTCTTTCAGCTCAACCAGCTCTTCCAAAACAGCAGCATCAAGAGTTTTTTCTCTGGCTGTGAAGTTTTAGCATTCAGGTGAGTTCCCGCTCAGGACCTAATCGCTCTGGAGACTCCTGCTGTCCTTTAAGTAAAAGTGTCCCCATGTCAAGGTCCCAGTTCTAGCTTTTATGGAAGATAGCCCTGAGAGTATAGAACTGTTACCTAAAAACCAACTTGTTCCTAAACCAGTGAGCCCAACTGGCTTAGAAATTCGAGAAAGCCAGGGTAGACTTCAGCAGACTTGGAGGTGCCTGGTGTTGGGGCCATGCAATATGGAATGTAGCATCCATGCCTTAAGAAATTAGCTGTTGAAGGAGAGGAAGAAAAGGGGAGTAAGTCAGAGGGGGAGACGAACCATGAGAGATGATGGACTCTGAAAAACAAACTGAGGGTTCTAGAGGGGAGGGGGGGAGGGGGATGGGTTATCCTGGTGATGGGTATTGAGGAGGGCACGTTCTGCATGGAGCACTGGGTGTTATGAACAAACAATGAATCATGGAACACTGCACCAAAAACTAATGATGTAATATATGGTGATTAACATAACAATAAAAAAATTAAAAAAAAAAAGAAATTAGCTGTTGAAGTCAGGATCCATAGAAGATGGGGGTGGCTAGAACCAGATGATTTAGAATCCAGCAGTCTAATTGTGCTGCTCAGTAGTGTAGCCACTAATCAAATGAAGCAATCCAAACTGTTTTACATCTATTAAGATATGATTCACATGGAAAATGTACCCCTTTGAAGTGTACAATTTAGTGGTATATTTATGGAGTGGTACAACCATCCCGCTATCTAATGGTGGAATTTTTTTTTGTTATGTTCAGTTAGCCACTGTATAGTACATCATTAGTTTTTGACGTAGATGTGATGTAGGGTGTGGAATGTTGTTTTTTTTTTTTAATCCTATCCTCATTAGCAGTTGCTTCCTAGTCTTCCCTTGTCCACATCCCCTAGAAAACAATAATCTACTTTCTGTCTCTCTGGATTTGCCTATTCTGAACATTCCATATAAATGGATTCCTATACGATGCGGTCTTTTGTGACTGACTTCTTTCCCTGAGCATGATGTTTCCAAGATTCATCCATGTTGTAGCACATATAGGTACTTCATTCCTTTTTTTATGACTAAATAATATCTGTTGTATAGCTATATTACTTTAAAAATTTTTTATTTAAATTCAGTTTCATTAACATATACTGTATTATTAGTTTCAGAGGTAGAATTGAGTGATTCATCAGTTGCATATGACACCCAGTGCTCATCGCATCACATGCCCTCCTTAATGCCCATCGCCCAGTTACACCAAGCCCCCACCCACCTCCCCTCCAGCAACCCTCAGTTTGTCTCCTAGAGTTAAGAGTCTCTTATAGAGGCAAACCATAAGGGGGGCTATACCATTTTGCGTTTATCCATCCATTCATTGATGGACCTTGGGTTATCTCCACTTTTTATCTATTATGAGTAATGCTGCTATGATCATTCTTGTGAGTTTTTGCATCAGTTTGTGTCTTCAGTTCTCTTGGGCATATACATAGGACTGATATTGTATGGTCATATGGTAATTCTGTGTTAACTTTTGAGGAACTACTGAACTGTTTGCCACAGAGGATCTACCATTTCCCACTCCCACAAGCAATATATGAGAGTCCCAAACTATCCAGATTCTCACCAACAATTGCTATTATCCTTTTTTTACTATAGTCATCCTAGTGGATGTGAAGTGGTATCTCACTGTTGTTCCAATTTGCATTTTCCTAACAATTAGTAATGTTGAACATTTTTTCAAGTACTTGTTGGTCATTTATTATCTTCTTTGGAGAAATATCTATGCAAGTCCTATTTCCAGTTTTACGTTGATTTTTTTTATTGTTGAGTTATCATCATTTTTGTATGTTCTGGATAGTAGACCTTTATCAGATATATGATTTGCAAATATGCTCTTCCATTTGTTACATTGCCTTTTCACCTTCTAGATACTACCTTTTGAAACACAATCATTTTTAATTTTGATGACTCTCAATTTCTCAATTTTTTCTTTGGTTGTTTGTGATTTTAGTCCCAAATTTAAGAAACCATTGCCTAATACAAATTCACAAAGATTTACACCTAGTTTTTTTCTAAGGGTTTTATAATTTTATCTCTTACATTTAGGCATTTGATTTGTTAATTTTTGTCTATGTTGTGAGGTATGAGTCCAACTTCATTCTTTAGTTTGTGGATATCTACTTGTCTCAGTACCATTTGTTAAATAGACTATTCTTTCCCTATTATCTTGGCACCCTTGTTGAAAATCAGTTGTCCATGATGGTATGAGTTTGTTTATGGATTCTAAGTTCTATACTTTTTAAATTTTTTTATTTAAATTTAGTTAACTTATATTGTATTATGAGTTTCAGGGGTAGTATTTAGCAATTCATCAGTTGTGTATAACACACAGTGCTCATTACATCGTGTCCTCCTTAATGCCCGTCATCCAGTTACCCTATCCCCCACCCACCTCCTCTCCAGCAACCCTCAATTTGTTCCCTATAGTTAAGAATCTATTATGGTTTGCTTCCCTCTCTGTTTTTATCTTATTTTATTTCTCCTTCCCTTCCCCATGTTCAATTCCACTGACTATATGTCTATCCTTATACTAGTGGCCACTGTTTTTATTACTGTAGCTTGGTAGTAAGTTCTGAAATTGGGAAATGAAGTTCTCCAGTTCTGCACATTCTCCATATTGGTTTACCTATTTGAGGTCCCTTGCAACTCCATATGGATTTTAGAATCAGCTTGTTAATTTCTGTAAAAGAGTTAGCTGGGATTTTGGTAGGGATTGCATTTAATCTGTTGATCAAATTGGGGAGTATTTTAACAATAATACATCCCCAGTCCATGAACATGGGATGCTTTTCCATGTATTTAGGTATTTTAAAATTCCTTTCAACAACATTCAGTGTACAAATCTCACAATGCTTTTGTTAAATTTATTCCTAAGTTTTATATTTTATCCTTTGATGCTATTATAAATAGAATTGTTTTATTAATTTCACTTTAAGAATGTTAATTACGATTGTATATAAATACAATTGTTGTATATTGGTCTTATATCCTACATTCATGCTGAACTAATTGTTTTTAGTTTTGTGTGTGAGTGTGTATTAGGATTTTCTATATTCAATATGTCATCTGCAAATAGAGATCATTTTACATCTTTCCTTCCAATCTGAATGCCTGTTCTTTCTTTTTCATGCCTAATTGTTTTATTAAAATTACATTTATTAAAATGTAAATAAGATATGAAATGAAGGAAGACAACACTGTTTTGTCCGTGGTCTTAGGAAAAAATTTTTAGTCTTTCACCATTGAGTATGGTTTTATCTGTGGGTTTTTCATGGATACTATTTTTCAGGTTGAGCAACTTTCTATTCCTAGTTTGTTGAGCTTTTTTTTTTTTTTTAATAATCATGAAGGATGTATTTCCTTAAATTCTTTTTTTTTGGATGTGTGTTATTTTTCCTTTATTCTATTAATATGCTCTATTCCACTGATAATTCTTTTTTCAGATATTAAGCCAACCTTTTAGCTAGAGGTGAGAGATTAAGACCTTTTCAAGTATTCATACCGCCCCACACACTTGTGACCTTGTAGACCTCCCCCACAAGCATCGGAGCTTTTCAAAACCCCTCAGAGACATCTTATACCCACTTTTTAAAAAGTTTTTGTCTCACCTCTTGCCTGCACCAACTGGTGGTATTGCTCCTTCAGGCAGCTGTCATGTTAAACAACTATCACTGATTGGTTTTGGCACATGCCCTGGGGATAGGCTTCCCTCACTGAAAACACTCTGAGTCAAATAAAGACAAGCCCTGAAAATGGGGCTTTTTAAAGGAATCTGCAGACAAGTCAACCATTGAAAATTCAATGGGAATGGGTCTTTTGGGGAACTCCAAATAGATTGTGGCTGCTAGGCTGCTGGTTTTCACAGCTACCGTGTTCTCATACTGCTGGCTTTCAAAGTTATTATGAGAGCAGGATGGGGATAATGCAAGTTCTAATGCCATAAATCTTGTTCCCTTTACCAGGATTCAGCCATTTTTTCCTCAACTAAATGATCCTCAGAGTGTTGCAAGGCTTTGGTTAATTTCTAGACTTCTGAAAAAGTTTTGACCATTCTTCCCAGCATTCTCAATGATTTTATGGATTTTTGGAAGTCCTACTGCAAACATTTCAAAAATGTTCTCCCCATGGCTTTTTATTTATAAACTAATTAAATTAAATAAAGTGGGACATTCAGTTCCTCACCCACACTAATGTATTTTAAGTGCTCAACAACATGGGGCTAATAATGACTGTATTTTTATATTGCAGACACAAATGTTTGTATCATTGTAGAAAGTTCTTTTGGACAGGACCTAGAAGCAGGGTAGAATTCAAGATAGCCTTGTTCATTCCTTTTGCCCTTCCAGGTCTGTCCCCCACAGCAACCACACTGGGGTGGACTCCCTGTGTAACTTTTCACCATTGGCTTGGAGACTGGACAGAGTTGCCATCTATTTGGAGTTCCTGAGGCTGACCAAAAATGGTACCCAGCTGCAGAACTTTACCCTGGACAGAAACAGTGTCCTTGTGGATGGTAAGGCTTCTTGGTCATTGGGGCAGGAGTTGGAGGTCCAACCTCCCCATGTGGGGCCTTTTCTGGGAATTTGGAGACCTGGGGTTGAGTCAGCATTAAACTATTTTAGGCTAACAGGAGGTGGCATACTCCCCCAGGCTTTATCCACCATTGAGGGAGAGGAAGGGACACCCAGTGGAATATTAGAGATACTTGCCTTCTCAGAGATAGCTCTGTAACCTCAGGCTGGTCACTTCCCCTCTCTGGAATTCTATTTCTCATCCCTGTACTGAAAGTCACTTGGCCAGTGGTCAGTGAGGGACTCTAGCTCTGAGCTGTATGTGAACCAGCCTTGCAGGCATAGGGGATGGACCTCTTTTCTCCAAGACAGGCTGTATAAAAAAAGGACCTGTATAAAAATGGACCTGACTTGGCCCATAGGCTGTAGTTTGCCATGTTCTGCTCTGGATCAGCACCATGCAGCACAACTTTCTGCAATGATGGAATGTTCTATATCTGTGCTGTCCAGTGCAGTAGCCACGTGTGACTACTGTGTACTTAAAGTCTGGCTATTGTGACTGGCTTTTATAGTTACTGATTTTTAATGTTACCAAGGTACCAGATTTTTTTATTTGATTTGATGAAAATTATTTTTAATTTCAAAAGCCACTTGCAGCTGCTCCATATTGGACAGCACATCTATAAGAAGTTGGCTGGGGATAGGTTGTACAGTAGGGTGACCTGAAACTCTCTTCCATGCCTGGTGGGTTCTATGTGTCCCTACCCTCATGGGGTTTATGTTGCAGTTGCAATAACAAGAATAGGCAATTGAAAAGTATTAATTATTTGGTGTGAAATAATTCATACTTGGGAGAGGTCATCAGAGAAGTCTTCCTGGATGAAATTACATTGTAGGTGAATCCTGGAAAATGAGTATAAAACAACTTGGTAAAGGAGAAGGGGTGAATGTGTTTCTGGGCAGAGAAGAGAGCATTTGAAAGGGAATTTACAAATTTAGAGAGATCCCTTGGTCTCGCCAGCTATGATAACCCATTCTCCCCCCAACCATCATAAGATGGCCCAGCCCAATTTCAGTCCTCCTTGCCCAGAGGTATGAATTTGATTTAATTTATTACACTCCTTGAGTGTGATAATAGCCTTGGATTATGTAGCAAAGTGTCCTCATTTCTTAGAGAAAAATGGGTGAATATCATGATTTCTACTTTGACGTTTCAGTGAAAAGATGATGAAGCAAGGGTGGCAAGTGCTAACAATTTATACACTGGATGAAATATTGTTTTAATTGGGTGAAATATACATTGTTAAATCTAGATGATGTATGTTTATGATATTGTTCTATTTTTCTGTGTACTTTGAAAGCTTTATTTAAAAAGCATAAAAACAATACAAAAAAAGCATAAAACACAGTCACATACATTCTCCATTTCATTCACTTCCAGGGTATTCTCCCAACAGAAATGATGTCTTAACTGAAAATTCTGGTAAGCCTCAAAGAAGCCCCAGCTCAGGATGGAGAAGGAATGTCTTGATGCTGTACCTAGTCAAAGAAAACCATGTACCCAGAGTCTTGATAATGATGAAAGCTGGACAACCCATGTCAGGGACTGTTAGACACAGTACAGGGAGAGCAGGAGGCCTAGGGGAATGATAGGAGGTGGCTCACACCAGCACTTATCTCCCCAGACCTCCCCTTCTGGGCCATCATCATTATCTGCTTGGTGGGACTCCTGGTACTCATCACATGCCTGATCTGCTGCTTCCTGGTAAGTAAGGAAGGTTGCTTGTCTTTTTACTGTTGGGTTGTAAGAGTTTTTTATATTTTTTTTAAAGATTTTATTTATTTATTTGAGAGAGAGAGAATGAGAGAGAGAGAGCACGAGAGGGAAGAGGGTCAGAGGGAGAAGCAGACTCCCCGCCGAGCAGGGAGCCCGATGCGGGACTCGATCCCGGGACTCCAGGATCATGACCTGAGCCGAAGGCAGTCGCTTAACCGACTGAGCCACCCAGGCGCCCAAGAGTTTTTTATATTTTATAAATATATGTCCTTTACTGGGAAAATGTTTTATGAATTTTTCTCACAGTTTGTGTGTGTCTTGCTTTTTCTTTTTTTTTTTTGTTTTTCTTAAGATTTATTTATTTATTTGAGAGAGAAAGAATGAACAGGCAGAGGGGCAGAGGGAGAGGGAGAGAGAGAATCCTCAGGCAGATTCCCCACAGAGGGCAGAGCCTGATGGGGGGCTCAATCCCAGGACCCTGAGATCATGACCTCAGCTGAAATCAAGAGTTGGCCTCTTAACCAACTCAGTCACCCAGTGCCCCTTGCTTTTTCCTTCTTTTAAACAACATAAGTCTTAGAGAGACATAAGTGAAAGTCATAATGAGATACTATGACACATGAGGATGGCTAAAATTAAAAAGATTGACTCTGACAAGTGGTGGTGAAGATGAGGAACTACTGTTACTCTCAAATAGTACTGGTAAGAAATAGATTGGATGCATCTTTAAAGGTTACATATACCTACCCAGCCATTCCACTCCTAGGAATTCATGGAAGAGAAATAATAAAATTAAATTATTAAATTAAATTAAAATACAATAAAATACAATAATAGAATCTATACAAAGACTTGTACACAAATGTTCATAATAACTTCATAAAAACTGAAAACAACCCAGAGGTCCGTCAACAAGTGAACGGATAAACAAACCATGGTCTAGCCCCACAATGGAATACTAATTCAGCAATAAAAAGGAATAAATTATAAATACATGCACTGACATGCGTAAATCTCAAAATAATAATATGGAGTGAAAGAAGCTGGATAACAATGAGTACATAGTGTATGATCCTGCCTAAAACAAATTATAGAATACGAGCTAATCTGCAGGGATATCACTCAGATCAGTGGTTGCCTGGGAACGAGAATGTGTTTGCAAATGGCAGGGAAGGAGGGATTACAAAGGAGCATGAAGACACTTTTGGGGATGACGAGCATTCCTTGTCTTGATTGTGGTGATGGTTCACAAAGTTATAATCAAAACTTATCAAATCATTCACTTTTCATGCATACAGGTCATTGTACACCAGTTATACGTCAGTTAAGCTAGAGGGTGCCCGTGTGGAGGGAGAGGGAGGGAGGGAGGGAGAAGATATGAGTGGGATGTCAGAGAAAAGAGTAGACAAACAGAGTTAAAGGGAAAAGAGAAGAGAAAGATAAAAGAGGTACAAGGCATGCATGAGAGAAAATGAAGTAGGAAAGGGTTGAGAGACACACAGGGGGCAGCAGGCGTCTGTGGCTTTGGCCACCCCCATCCCTGTGGTCCCAGGCCATTCTCATGCTCTCTTCTTGCCCTCACAGGTCACTGTCCACCAGCGGAAGAAGGAGGGAAACTACGAGGTTCAGCAGCACAGTCTGGGCTCTTACCTGCCACACCTGGATCTGAGGAAGCTGCAGTGAGAGCTTTGCGTGAGGCTCCAATGGAGCTTGGCTGGAGCAGGAATAAACCACATTGGTCGGACACAGTCTCTGGGCCCTTCTTGACTTGGCCCCTGACTAGTTCACAGGGGACCAAGAAGAAAGGTTTTCCCTTCCACTGAGTCCTGAAGGGCAACTGCAAAGCTGTGTTTTGGTTTCATGCCATTTCGTCCCTCAGAGGCACCAGAACTGGCAAGAGACCCAGACATTGTCATCATGTAAAATCAACACATTGTCATCATGTAAAATCAACATGCCAGCCACCACACCCATCTCCATTCCTCCATATTTCCCCACCCCCAAAGTTCCCCTAACACTGTCTCATTCTCTGAAGCTCAGGTTCACCAGGACTTCCAGACCAGTCTGCCTCAGTGGCTCCTCTCCCCTCCTGGTCCTCCAAGATGGGAAATAATCCAAGAAGAAATGAGTGAGTCAGGAATGACTGGGCAATCGACATTGGGACTTGGAGCTGAAATCACTAGGTTTCCGGGAAGCCTCAGTCCCAGAGAAATCCCCAGGCTTGAGACACACAGTGTCTGCTTTTGATATAAAGATAAATAACACTCAGTGGGAAAGAAAAAATCTGAGGAAAAAGCTAGACAGTCTCTCTTCATCTTTCTCTGCACTGACTCCAACTAGACAGAGCAGGGTCTCCCCAGCAAGCAGCCCCACATGAGCCAGGCACAAGGCAAGCTGTGCTGTCCTGCTTTGGGTTTGCAGGAATAGCTGGCATGACCTCTACACATTTTGCAGACGACCACAGCTGAAGACACCCAAGGGCGGAGAATTCACAGCAATGCCACCATTCAGACTTACTTGGTGTGAGCTTCACATCCTCAGTCTTAAGCAGTCATTCTCTAAGAATACCTTCTCTGGAAGTTATAATAACGATAACAAGAGCTATCATTATTGATGCCTTTATATCTACTAAGCAACGTGAGTGACAAACTTTCTCAGCTGCGCTCTCAATCTCTAGCCTCCGTGTGCATTGTCTCAGTTACACTCACCAGCCCTGAGACCTGCATTCCCATTTTATAGCTAGTGATATGGAGGCTCAGAAATACTAAATAACTAGGAAGGAAAAAAACTACTAAGAACCTAAATCAAACACCTCACCACACTATCTGTCAAAGAAAAAGACAAAAATACTTCCTGAAATATGGACAGACTCAACATTGACCTGCCAAAGGCCTTCAGTCAAAGAACCAGTCAAGGATGTACATCGGGAAGCAGAAATGTGACCACAGAAAAATGTAACGGGAGTCATAAGGAAAAGAAAAAATTCAGTGTATCTAAATCAGAATTAGTTTTAAAACAAGATGTTAAAACACATTCTAAAATTCCAGATGAGTACTTCCTGGAAGAATAGAGGAGAGAAGATGCAATTTTAAAATAGCCCATTTTTAGGAAAGATAGAAATACTACAAATATTATTTTTTAATAACTCATTCTCAGAAACTGATGAATCCATGAGACAAAAGTTAAGTAATGATGAAAAGGATTTGAATATTACCACAGGTTGCTCAAGCAAATTGACAATTAAATCCCAATGAGCAGTAGCTCAGTGATAGATTAATGATGCTGAGAAGAGTCTCTCTTGACAGCATGATCCCCAAAATGGCACATCAGTTTTCATGAATCAAATTTCCAACACATAGAGATATTTTTAAAAGTGAGAAGTCTGGTATTTCCTTGTACTGAACTCTGAATTAACATGCAACAAAGAACAGAAAAATAGAGACCTACAAACAGGTATCTTTTTTGAGAACATTAAGAAAAATATTATGTTGGATTCTGTTGGAATATTAACACAAAAAGAGTAGTCCATTTCGACCAGGCATGTTTTACCCTGACTGTGAGGGCAGAACACTAAATAATCGCATGAACTTGATCACTCTCTGTTGACTTTAAAATACAAATAACATACAAAGTAAGGGAAGATAACAGTACCTCATGGAAAGGAAAGATCTCTTTTCTCTCCTTGCCTGAAACCCAATCTTGCAGTTCAAAAAGATCACTATTGTCTATGTCACACAAAATAATTTAATACAAGAAAAGTACTGGTACATATTAAAGTTTCGAGGGCTCGGGGCATGAAGACAGCATGGACACTGCAAAGAGACATTAATGAAGTGCCCTGCGCCATTTCATCTGCACTAGCTTCTTTTTTTCATGGTGTTTTTCAGGATGTCCTTCTTGGCCCCTCATTGTCTCTGCCTCTCTAGCAAGTCTGTCTACAGCCAGTGCTGTGGCCAACCTTTCTCTTGCTGTCTTCACTTTCCTTTCCTGTTTCCTGATATCTTCCTCAGTCACCAGAAATTGTTTGCACAAGAGCTGTGGGATACCCAGATCAACTCCTGAAGACCCAGCAGGGATGGGCATGGGGCTGGAGTTCAGACTACCTGCAAGAACATCTGGCAGATATTCACCTGTGCACCTGGGTTCAAGTTTTTGCAAGGCTTTGGCAAGATCCAAAGTGCTTAACGGTTCCCCTGTCCTGCTGCAGGCCTGGAGGCCTTGTAGCCTCTTCTGCCAGCACACCTGTTGGGGCTTGTCCAGGGCTTCCTCCCAGTGATGGCATCTGACCTCACTACCAGGATGGGATGTAATTCTGGTAACTGGCCTCTTGAATATGTAACTGGACATCCTCAAAGGGATCGAGACACTTAAGCAAGACTTTGGTTTGGATTGGTTTCCACAGTCATATTGCTTCCTCTGTGGAGTCTTGACCATCATACTTCTTTTGCTTTTACCCTATAAAAATAAATCATGAGATTGGTTTAAAATTGGTTTAAAATGGTTTAAAAGGTTGCCTTCTTAGGAGCATGGTATCAGTTATTTTGTACTTCCACCTTCCTTCTCTACCTCTGGGGATAGATCTGACCTGTGTCCTGGGATGTCATCAAATAGACTTGGATCAAAACCAGAAAATTCAAGGTCAAAATTCAGGACCTACTCCAGATCATTTCTCCTTCACCATCTTGTAAGATCCTCTCTTTTATGATTTGTTCTCACTTGTCCTTGTCACTCTCAACCATACAATTCCTGGTCTTCCCCCTACCCCCGGACACACGGTGCCCAGTCTTTTTCTAAATCTCCAGCCGCACCATCCTTCTGTGTTAGGTGACTATTCATTTGCTCGACCTGTTGACCACTTTGTTTTCAAAACTTAAACCAATAGTGAAATTATCATCTGCCCTGTTCTTAGCAACTCACTCCCATATCCCAGACCTTGACGTCAACCAACAATGTCATGATCAAAAATAATTCAGAGAACATATTCGCCCACCATAAATTCCTGATTTTCAGTTTTCACTCAAACACTTATACAATAGTTACCTATCCCTCAAGATTGGAAGTGATGCCAGATCACCATATACTCACCTTACTTTCTCTCCTATTCCTACCAATCCTGGATTCCATGGTCTATGATCTCAATAATTCCCTTGGAATAATTCAGAATTCCTTAACAATTATCATATCTGCCTTGTAAAACTTCAAATCTGGAAGACCCTCATTATCCACCATGCCATAGCTACTGCTAGTCTTAGGATAACTGCTGAGAAGAGCACACATACTTTAGTACCACTATAAATCCAAAATCATCTACATCCACTGCAAAACATCCATAATCCCTGGAAATTTTACTTTACTTTTATGTGTTGGCATATTTATTCCTTGGCTTTTCACAAAGCTTGTTTCAAACATTCCCTACTTTTTACTTCATACATATCCAAGATCCCTTAACTTGCCTGATATTTCACAGAGAAATGGTTCTTTCCACTCCTTCCTGTTCGTTGTGGATCACTGAGAAAAAGTCATCTACATCCTGTGCCTCTGGGGCCTCATCTTCAAGCACCTCCTCAGACCACCCACTCTTCCATCTGCCCTCACCATTCTGTGGGTGCTTCCTTGATAAGGTCACAATGACTCCTTTGTTACTAGACCCAGTAGAAACTTTTCAGTATTCATATGACAAGATCTTTAAGTGGAAAAGTTATAGGTATGTTTGCAACAACTTAGATATGTGAACCCTATTTTACATCTGTGAAGAGTGTACAATCTAAATACAAAGCAGATACATCTGACAAAATTCAACTTACAAAATGAGACTGTGTTGTAAGTAGAAAGTACTGGATTTCTGAGAGCACACACAAAAAATGTAAACTATCTCTATTAATTTTTACATTGATTGCATGCACAGGTAAAAATATCTTGGTAATAATGTTTTAAAATATATTACTAAAATTCATTTCACATGTTTGTTTTTATCTTTTTAAAGGCGGCTACTAAATTTAAAAAATTCCATATTATAGAGTGCTTAGTGGTCCTATTGACAGCACTGATCAAGCCGTGTGCCTAAAAATAAAGCCCAGAGCAAAATGTCTGGGAAAAATTTTCCCAAGGAGAGGAGTCTACCTCCACCCCATAGCAAGATGCAGCATGTACACACACACTCACACACACACACACACTCACACACACGGTAGATGTCCCAGAGTACCCCCATTACTTCTCAAACGCCATGAGGTTGCACTCCCACAGAGTCCAAACTGGACTTGATCTCTAGAGAGAAATCAGAAGTCCATATAATTTACCATTTAGGGAGAGCCAAACCAGAGACTATGCATAAAAATTTTTTTAGTTGCTCATCATCGGCTTCTATTATAAATTCAATTTGTTTGGAAAACTCTTCCAGGGAGGGTCATTTTAAAAATACACAGTAAATGTAAATAACTATCACTCTAGCCAATAAATGAAACTGAAAGGATAGAACACAAATATTATCATTATCAAATCACTACTGGATTTGTGAGTCAGTCAGGGAACAGATGAGATTGGATTAATTAGGTGATTCTCATTGCACCACCATAATATTGATCATATTATGCTAGGACTTCTGAAACATGGCAGCCCTCCCAACTACTTAACCACCAAGGCCCAGCAACCAGACAGGTTGTTGCTGGCAAATCCCCTCTGACAACACCTGGAGGATTTTCCCAACATCCCACTCTGCCATTGCATTCTTCTACCTGCTACAGGCCAA